CTAGTGTCTTAGTTTATTGATTTATTCCATCTTATTAGTAGTATTTTAGAACACCATTTTCCATTGATTTCGAACTAGCTTAGGTTTAAGATTGATTTGCAATTACTCTCGTTCCTCGTGGACCGAACCTTTATTTGCCATTGTACTTGGTTATAGGGTGTTCGTATAAGTATTGTTTGATTGAGAGTTAGATTGTAGCGACCGATTTAACCCATGTCAAGTACAAAGAAGGGAAATTGAATGTAGTGGCAGATGCACTCTCTAGAAGATATACTTTGCTTGGAATTCTCAATGGCAAGTTGCTTAATTTTGAATTGATCAAGGAATATTACAAGGGTGATGATGATTCTTCTACAATTATTGAGGGGTGTTCCAAGGGTGCCGTAGGTTCTTATATTTTGCAAGATGGTTTTCTTTTCAAAGGAAATCAACTTTGTCTTCCTAAGTGTTCTATTCAAGAGCTAGTTGTTAGAGAAGCTCATGGAGGTGGAATTGTTGGTCACTTTGGCATTACAAAGACCTTGACATGTTACAAGAACACTTCTATTGGCCTAAGATGCTTGCGGATGTGCAATTAGTTGTATCTGGATGTGCAACTTGTCAAAAGGCAAAGGCTACTTTACATCAAGGCTTGTATACACCTCTACCTGTCCCAGATTCACCATGGGAGGATGTGTCTATGGACTTTATAGTAGGGTTCCCAAGAACACAAAGGGGGAAAGATTCAATCATGGTTGTTGTAGTTCGTTTTTCTAAAATGGCTCACTTTGTTCCTTGCCACAAAGTGGATGATGCTATGAAGGTTGCGGAATTATACTTCAAAGAAATTGTTAGACTACATGGAATTCCGAAAACTATTGTGAGTGATCGTGATACTAAGTTCATGAGTTTCTTTTGGAAATCTCTATGGAAGCTCGTGGAAACTAAGCTACTTTTTAGTACATCTTATCATCCACAAACTGATTGACAAACCGAGGTTACTAATCGTACTCTTGGTGTGCTTTTGCATGGATTAGTGAGTAAGACACAAAAGGATTGGGACATCAAGTTAGCTCATGCGGAGTTTGCTTATAATAGATCACCTACTTATGCTACAAAGCATAGTCCTTTTGAGATAGTTTATGGAGTGAATCGAAACTTCCTATTGATCTTGTTCCAATGCCTAAGGGTGAGTTGCTACATAAAGATGCCGAATCAAGAGTATGCTGAAAATTACATGCTCAAGTTCGTGCAAGAATTGAGAAAGTGAATGACATGTATTAGGCACGAGCAAACAAGCATAGAAAGCAACAAAGTTACAATGATGGAGACTTGGTATGGTTACATTTGAGAAAGGAAAGATTTCCGGGAAAACGCAAGAATAAGCTAATGCCTAGAAGTGAAGGTCCTTTCAAGATTGTTGAGAAGATCAATGACAATGCTTATAAGTTAGAACTTCCGGGAGAGTATGGAGTTAGTGCTACATTCAATGTTGGTGATTTAGCTAAGTACTTTCCTGATGAAGAACTTCGAGATTTGTGGACAAATTCTTTCGAAGAAGAGGAGGATGATGCAAGTCTAAGCATGGAGAACTTCGGAGATTTGCTTATCATGCATCAAGATAGCTTGTCTCTAAACATTGATTCAAGTCAAGCATTGCATGGGCACTTTCTTAGATACCAAAGCAAAGCTACGGTTTGCTTGGTTGCGTTTCTTGGAGTCTAAACTACTTTCTTTAATTTTCATTACTTAGATTTTGCTTACAAGTTTTTACCTTTCACTTGAAAGGGTTTTTCTTGGTTCAAACATTAGGATCTTTAAGCTTTTAATTAGTTTCTTTAAATTAGGAATTAGTTAAATTCGGTTATTTAATTAAGTTAGTTTAAACCATGTGTTTAGGCGTGTGGTCTTGCTTGGGGAGCAAGCTTGGTACGGTTTGAAATCTTATCCAAGGGCTTGTTAGAGTTCTAGTTGGATTAGATAACTAATCAAATTCTATCTTTATTTGATTAGTTATGGAAACCGTGTTTTGCTAGCTTGTGGTTCAAGGCTTGCTTCCTTGTTCTCTAAGTTGGTTTAGAAGTCTAGTTTGCTTAGAATTGAATTAGGGACTTGTCCTAATCTTCCTAAGAGAGTCTAGCTTATAAATAGGTTTTTTTCACACGAAATAATCAGATTATTATTGCATTGTTTGAGTTTTAACACTTGAGTTTTAATTGATGGATTTCAATTGTTGTTTTGCTTGTTTTAGTTAAAACATTCGTTTAGGTTGATTAATTAGGTGGATTCTTAGTTAATTAATCTAGTTTCTTGTTTAATTCTTGGTAGATTTTCCTGTATAAAATTAAGCTTGATTCATATCCTTGTGTGTTTTAGTTTTAGGATTAAAATTCACATCAACAAGTATAATAATAAACTAAATTATAAATTATAATAATAAGAAGTAATATTAATAAGTAAACCAAGTATAAAAATAATAAATTATAATAACAAGTATAATAATTAAATAAATAAATTATAATAATAACAAGTAATAACAATTATAATAATAAAATAATAATAAACTTAATTAATGTATTTATAATAATAATAATAAAGTAAACTTAATTAGTTAATTATAAAAAAAAATTTAGAAAAAAAAACAAAAAAATTGAAGAACGTGTCAGGCACGTGGGCTGGCCCGGCACGGCACGCCTGACACGGCCGTGTGCTGGCCTCGTGAAAATGGAGGCATAGCACGGCCCACCGCCATGGCTGGACCGTCAGGCCCGGCCTGGCCTGGTGTCCACCTTCAGGACTGACAAGTCTTTCTTTTTCCCTTTTTTCTGCTCCACGACATTAGCTTTCTCTTTCCTTTGAACCGAACTTTCTCACTCCATCTTTCCTTTATCTCATTCTCCTCCATTGAAGGAACTTCTATGCTTTCCCCTCCAATATTGAAGCAGCTTGCGAGGTAATTTGTTTTTCAATCATCTCCACTATTTCATTCCATTGTCTTTCATCCAATCTTCTTTCATTTTGAATTTTCGACAGAGATGAACTCTCCATGGAAGCGCCTCTTGAGGTTGCTCCTCCATTGAATTAAAGCTGCTTCTGAGGTCAGATATTTTCCTTGAATATGTACATCAATTAGGTTAATAATGTGAGATTAATTAGGTTTATGTGTGTGGGATGAATTGGGTTATTTTTGTCTTGCATGCGTTAACTCCCACTCTTTGTTTTCGATTTTGTGTGCTTTGGTTTTCTCAGATCCACCATCAACATCTTTGATTTTGGACTGGGAATTTATAATTCACATCAGCATTAATGATGGTGTTATTGGAGATGGAGGGATGTATGGTGGTTTAGTATAGGGTTTTTTGTGATTCAGTTTTAGGATTGTGGTTTAATTACTTATATGCTTGATATTTATGGAGTTTTTTTAGTGTTGTGTTTTATTGCATTATGCGAATATTATAGGATTTTAAGGGTCATTGTTATATTTCTAGGGTTTTTGTAGAAAATAATTTTTGGGTTTATGTGATTCATTTCTAGGGTTTTGGTTTAATTACTTACTTGATTGCTAATGTTTTGAATTATTAGTGTTATATTTTAATTGCATTATGCTAATTATATGGCATTTTTAATAGTTGTTTTGAGTATTGGGGTTTTGTTAAAACCCAGTTCTTCAATTTTGGATGAATAGGGATTCTGGTGTTTGTATTATTTAATTTTAGTTGTAGTCAGATTTGATTCTGGTAACCAGGTGGTGAAATTGTGTAATATCTTTGGGTACAATTAATACCAGTACAATGTGTGCATGAATTGTTTTATTGAAAGTTTGATACTTTTTATTGCTATTACATGGAAAGAATGATACTTTGAGTAGCTTGAATCTTTGCTAAAGCTTCTCACCTCACTGATGCGTCGGAATGTAATGTGATAGATAGTTTTGTCATGATAGCTTTAGATTATCTGTTGATACCGAATTTGCTCCTAATTGATGGTTTTGCAGTGTAGAAATTAAATTTGTAGATGTGATTTATAATTTGCTCAGGTTTTTGGTTATGCAGAGGACAAAGAATTGGGCAAGGCACTTGAAGGATCAGACGTTGTTATAATTCCCGCCGGTGTGCCTAGGAAGCCTAGTATGACTCGCGATGACCTCTTTAACATCAATGCCGGTATCGTGAAAAACCTCTGCAAATCTGGTGCCTAGTATTGTCCTAATGTGAGTTCAAACTTGCTTTTCATATTTTTCTTTTCATGTTTAGGTGATTCTGTAATCTGCTGAACAAATTATGCATCCTATATCTTACTTGGTTATCTTTCTGGTGACTGGCTGTGGATTAGGCTCTTGTCAACATGATTAGCAATCCCGTGAACTCAACAGTGCCTATTGCATCTGAGGTTTTCAAGAAATCTGGAACTTATGACCCCAAAAGGTTGTTTGGTGTGACAACCCTGGATGTCGTTATGGCTAAGACTTTCTATGCTACAAAGGCTGGCCTTTCAGTTGAAGGTATACCATTAAAGTCACATTGTAACATTGTTTGAGGGTCCATGTCTGCTGATTTACATTGTAACATATTATGCTGGCCTTTTCAACTGTTTCATGTCCATGTAGGGGTAGTTGGCAATATATTGATTATTTGTCAAGTGGTCTTTTGTTTAAGTGGTATGATTTTGCTAATTTATATTTGTCTGCTTACTTACAGCGGACAATGTGCCTGTTGTTGGAGGTCATGTTGGCATAATTATTCTTCCATTGTCTCAAGTATGTACATGGAATGCATTCATCCTTTCCGCTTTCCCTCACCCTTTTAACAATGTTGTTTATGAGGGCAGTAATTGGCTCATTTAATATATGTCTTAAAACTCTATTGGTTCTAAGTTTACTTGTTGCCCAGTTAGGCTCACCCATAAGGCAATCTTTCCAACAATGACATTGAGTATCTTACAAAGCGAACACAAGACGGAGGAACAGAGGTGGTTCTTGCAAAGGCTGGAAAGGGTTCAGCAACATTGTCTATGGCGTAAGTCTGATTTTCTGAGAAACCTCTTATGCTTAATTACTGAGGATTTAGGAACAATATATCGCTTGTTTTCATTCTAGAGATAGGTTTTACTTGATATATCAATGGACAATTTAGGAAATGATGGACAGATTTCCTGAATTTTATAATACTCCTTATAATACTTCATTTGGAGATAGTAAGTGGTAGTTTGATTGGAACTAGAAGTGAAAAAGGTTTTGGGGTCTAGCCATCTTGGTTGATTGACAAAAGCAACTTCTAGGGTCAGATTTTTCCCTGCATATGTACATCGTGTTTCAGTTTTATTTTTTAACATTTTACTCCGATAAATTACACTATGGGTATCCCTGTGTTTATGGTGCTCTTACAGTACGGGTATGAGCACCATGAAACAGAGAGTATTTTGGTCATAGAGTGTGCACTCTAGAGATCTTTCTAACATAGAGGGTGCCCATAGCTTATTATTTGTTTGTAGGAGGTAGCAATTCTTGATACTCAGAGGAAATGTGGTGCTGAAATGAAAAACAGATCACCTACTGTCAAGGCAACATTATGTATAGTGAGTTAAATGCTAAAGCAGCGGAGAATATTGTACTTCTTATTATGCCTTTTGATCAATGTTTACTGGAGTTACTATTGTTTAATATATAAGATTGATTGGTATATCTGGTAAATGGTTTGATTTCTGAGTTTTCATTAAATTGATTATTATTCATATATAAGGTTTTTCTTTGGTTTGGATGAATTTATGAGTTATTGGCATATGTCTAATTGTTAATCCATCTGATAGCATCGACAATGGCGATGATATGTCTAATACGTGAGAGGGACTTGATGAAACTGTATATACAATCTAGCAGAAAGCCTGAGGTTCACAACTGATGTATTGGTAAATGCTTAATTTTGACGCAAAATTATACCCTTCCTACACTACTAATTACATTCGACACATTACTAATTAAAAACCACATGATTATAGTTTAGGACAAAATATTACATTTACTAAACTAATCATAAAAACCTTATCCTACACAACCCCAGCTTGATTTCTGATAGTACTAATTTAGGCTTGGGTTTTTCAAATGTGTTAAAGGTTAGGGGTGAAATGGTGCTTTTTGCATACATAATAGCTCAGTAAATTTTGCCAACATCACTTTCAGCTTCCCCACTTATTTTTCTTAACTTTAACCAAGTTGTGTCATCAGTCTCATCACACAATTACCATATCCATTTGCATTCATGACTCTATATGAACATTGTAGGACAAAAGATAGGCATTTATAATCATTATCTTCTCTTATTTTGGTATACCATTCTAGGCCTTTGAAACAGTTAGTTTTTACCAAAATCATTATATATAGTTTCGGCATGTTTGTGCTGACTTGTGACACAACAATTAGGATTTCTGGGAATCCATTACTTAATAATTAGGACTAACAAAGTTGCCAATGCAAATGTCTTGAATATATGCTTTTGTGGCATTTCAATTTTTATAGGGCACAGAATAATGAACCATTTATTAATGCTGTACTCTGTTTTTTTATTGGTAGGACTTGGGAGCTCATGGACCATGGACAGGGGTGCAAGTCAACGTACCAGTTAAGTTCATATTAGGGGAGCTGGACATAACCAATAGTTTTCCGTACATGAAGGATTACTTACACAAGGGTGGGTTCAAGAGAGATGTACCACTTTTGGCTGAGTTGTAATGGAAGGTGCTGCTCACTTCATCAATCAAGAAATCCGGAAGAAATAAGCAACCATATTTTGGTATTCTTTGAAAATTTTTAGTCCTCTGGTATTTCTCAAGCTGCTCTTTGCTTGCTTGATGCATTTCAATATTCAACTTTTGTCATTTTAGGAAGAGCAGAACACGCTCTAATTAGCTGTAGTCATGATTAACAAAGGTGTTGATATGGTGTGTGGTGTGTCGTCCCTTGTAGAGTGTTTCACATCTTTGGGATCTCCTTTTCCATTGTATAGTGTTCAAGTATCCCCCTTTGCTCCAATTGTTGAGATCTAAATACGTTATACGTAGTAAGTCTTAGTGATGACTTGAATTCTTTCACCAATATATCTTTTCTTGCCACAATATCTGAAATATCTTGTGTTATTTGAAATTAGGTTTTGTTTCTAATGCTATCATTGTTATTGTAGGGGCATGCATATTAGTTCTACACTTCAATAAAATGCATGGTTAAATGAGGCATCAAGCTGCTACTTGGTTATTATTTTTTAAGCAACATTTATAAAGTCTAATTGATAATATAGTGCATTTTTAAGATTGCATTTCTAGAGTATGATTTTTTTTTTAAAGGGAAACACTTGACAAACACTTTATTGAATACGCAAAATTATTAAGAATGGGTGGCAGGGGAGGGGGGAGGGGATGGGATAAGTAGAGGATGGTATTCTAAAAATTGCAATATCGTAAAAGGCAAGTGAAAAGCCAGAGAAGTAGAGAGAGAGAGAGAGAGAGAGAGAGAGGGGAGAAAAAAAAAAAAAAAGAGAGAACTTTTAATCAATTGTTTTAAAGTGTAAGATGACTACAAGCAAGTAGGAAGATACTCCCTTAAATTTACATATCCTTAAAAAAATAATTTTGAAGAGAGCATGGAAAAGGGAGTGAGAAAGGGAGAAGGTAGAAGGAGAGCAAAATAGTTTTAAGAGGCATAAGTGATCATTTTAAAACTTAAAAATAGAAGACTACTCTAAGCAAGTAGGAAAATACTTAAATTTGCATTGCCATTAAAAATAATTTTGAGGAGAGAGAGGAAATAGTGAGAAGGAGAAGGAAGGTGGAATAAGCAGGGAAAACACTTTTAGGAGTCGATTTTTAGAGTGTAGTCGTAGCAATAGTAGCGGTAGCAGTAGTAGAAGCAACAGCAGCAGCAGCAGCAGCAGCAGTAGGAACAGCAGCAGTGGCAACAGCAGTAGTAGTAGCATTAGTAATAGTAGTGGGAAGAGTAAAAACACATGTAGAAAGATTATGAATTCCACAAAATCATAAAAGACAAGTGATAAACGGACAAAGAGGAAAAGGAAGGGGGAGGTAATTAGGAAGAAACTTTCTAAAATAGTTGCTCAGTCATATTTAGTTATGAGCAATCAGTTTCTTAAGCATAGTTTTATGTTTTTGTTTTGCTTTGCTTAAAGTCAACTGATTTTAGGGCTTGAATCTCCTGTTTAATCAAGACAGGAACAAGTACAATACTTCAAAGTATCATTTGATTGTGCGATTTGTATCTTTGTATTTCAAATTTATATCTAAATTTGATCTATGACTGTTTATCCTTGTTGAATGCTTCATCTTGTTGTTTTCTTTTTTATTTTAAAATTAATGATTATCTCAATCTCCTTATGATTATGATTTAGGCTGAAAAGGATCGGGAATCATTTCCTAACTGTCTTTGAAAATTGAACAGAATAAAAAATCAGAGAATCAATGGCAGCGGAGGATGTACAACTGATGTTAATACTTAGTGTCTTGGTTAGCAAGCTGTTATCATGAAGCAATCTAAAACTTTTAGCAAAGTGTGTGCTTTGATGTTTCTTTTTTCTTTGATTGTCATTGGCAGTTGGCCAGCATAGTCGGAATTATTTTTGGAAAGAGAACACACAAATGTTGAGATGTTTGAGTTGTGTTCAGGTGAAGGAACTTTTGAAGGATTGTTTAAATGGAAAAGTAGGAGGATCAAGTGAGAAGGAGCCTGAGTCCAGTGCATCAGCTGAACTGAACTCACGTAACTTTGATGTATTAGTGCTGAAAAGCAAAGATCTTTGGGTTATAGAGTTCGTTGCACCTTAGTATGTTTTTGTAGGGCTTTTTTGTTTGAATTGTTAGTTTGTATTCTGATCCTCAAGATTTTAATACTATAATGCATCAATTGTCATTGGGGTAAAATCATCATAGTGAACTGCTTCATATCTATTATATTATCTTGTCTTAATAAATACAACTTTAGTGTTGACATGTTCTCCCTTTTATATTGGTAGCAGTGGCGGACCTGGCCTTGTGCCTGGCAGGGCCCAAAAAAAAAATCTAAGATTTAAAAAAAAAAAAAAATGGTTTCTGGGAAATGGGGTTTCATGGAGTAGATAAAGCTCAGAAGTTGCTTAAATGGAGGAGAGAGAAAATATCGGGCAAGCTCACGAGCTACTTCAATGGAAGAGAGAAATTGGAGCTGCTTCAATGGAAGAGAGAGAAAATGTCGGAAAAGGGAAACAGAATAGGAGAGAGAAAATTAGGGTAAGTGTGAGAATTTGAAAAGACGATATGTGAGATGGAATTTGAAAGTTTGAGAGGAAGAGATTTCAGGGATGGCCATGGGAGCTAGGTGATACGAAGGAGATAGAAGATAGGTGGATTTATTTGATATATTGTTTTCTTTTTCCTTCTTTTCATATACATCATTATTACTTTATTAGAATACTGTGCTAGGTGATGCTCTAAAATTGATATACCTTGAAATGAAATGATATTAAATAGACTTGCTTATCTGCAAAAGCAAGAGTACTTCTCCTGATTTCAAAATGTGTCAGTCTCTCAATTTTTAGATTGTTTTCCAAACTATTGAGCCAATCTGAATATCGTTCATTATGCACTACTTTCTGCATTTTCCAAAACATAATCTTGTTTTTTTTTTTTTTTCAAGTATTAGCATGCTTCTTTTCTTTCTTTGGCTCTTAAAAAAATGAAGCAAATATCCTTAACAGTTTGTGTATTCCTCGTGTAGTTTCAATGGCCACAGTTTGTGTTAGGGTCTTCGATTCTTGCTGTGATGTTGATATAATTGAGCTGGACTTAATTTTGTAAAGGCTTGGATTTGCATGAATTTGACCCAAATACAAATCCTAATGACTGTATTATCCAAACAGGCCCAAATGGGAATTTCAAATGAAATCCGCATATCCAAACAGGCCATAAGAAAATTCCCAGAAATTTCATTTGGGAAATAATTTCCCGTGAAATACAACTTCTTATGGAAAATTATTTCCCTTATCAACCAAACGAGTTATTACTTTATACTGCTGTTTTGTGTCCTCTTGTTGCCTTCGATTCTAGTCCTGCTTGCTTAATGCTTATCAACAACACTTCTGTTTTGTGTCCTCTTGTTGAAGATCATATGCATTTTGCCCTATTTCTTACATTGTTGTTGTTTTTGCGAGTGTTTCGACCTAAGTTTCGTATATTTAGTTGGTTGCATATACTTAATATTTAGTTCTTTAATGTTATTTAGCTTCTGAGAAAGAGGGTACAAGAACAGAGGATATATGGTTTCTGGGTTTCTGAATGTATTTTTTAGTACTATTATTTGGTTGTTTGGTAAATTTTTTTTTTTTACATATTTGGTTATCGATTGTGACTCACCAGTCGGAAATTCCTGGGTCCGCCACTGATTGGTAGTTATAGGATCCACAAGGAGCAAATTGAGAAATGGCAGGAAGAGATGAAGGAGAAGGAGCCGAGGGTGATCGATGCAACTTATGACGAAATGAATGATCGCCTGAATAATGTCAAATGCCTACTTCAAACTGTTCATATCGGCCAGTCAAATGCCTACTGCAAAAATATTGTTTTATTTTTTATTTTTTAAGGGGAGCAAAAATATTGAATTGATTTAGAGGGAATTGTTGAAATTTCATATGTTTCATCTAATGTTTATGGGTATTCATTTTTGGCTTTTTTGTTCATAAAATTATCCGTTGTTTTACAATTTATTTACTATTTATTTATTTTTGGGTGAAATTAGCTTAAATTGGTTAATTATCTATTAATTTGAACCCATGATCACATGTATTTTTGGGCTGCATGGTGAGCCCCAAGTGACCCTAACCCAAATCTTGATGAATGATTAAATATCAAGTATTAACCCTTGTGATTATAACATGGCCAAGTTGTTGAATATTTCCCTCTTAGTTTCTTTCAAGTTCATGATTTATAATTTGATGTTTTACCATTAAAAAAGATTCTTGAGTGAATAAATTAGCGATTGGTCAAAGGTTGAGCAATTTATTAGCTTTTGCATAGTTGTATTTGAAAGAAAAATGTGAGGCACTTTAGAACTGAATACTTTACAACATTGTTATTAAAAGGTTAATCCTTGTATATGAGGTGAAGTTAAGAGTAAATTATGTTCAGAAACTTCCGATTTATTTTGTGGCATATAATAATCCATGCTCAATTACAACACGAGGGTGAACTGATTTGTTTCACTTAGTCTTTTTAAACAATAGTGTTTTTTGAATTTAATAGTAAGGTAATATTTTTATAAACTATGCAATTAACCATAAAAGACGATGGAAAATGATCAAAATAATTATGAGTGAGTTTTAACCACATTATTAGATTTATGTCTCATGTTTGATCTTGTAAGGATTAATGAGCTTGTTCCTTCTTAATCTATATAAACTCATAAAATTTGAAAATTTAAGAGACTTCAAATTTTATCAATATGCTAGTAATAATATGTGTTGTTATATTTTAATTAGTTGAGAAAATAAATACTAGATGATATAAACAAGAATATGCTCAAGATTGAATAATGTTATCACCCATATCACAATAAAATATTTTAAAAGTCTTTATTAAATTTTGCTGAGAAAATTTTGGCTTAAACATATAGTTGATCGATAAAATAGTTCTTATAATATAATGTTACAAGAATTACTTAGTTATCCTTCTAAACATTCCTTCCCCACTTAATAGAATATAGAGGGGGTTAAGAGAAAGAAAAAGGCGCCAAGGGAAAGAGTGGGGTCGGGAGAGTGATAAAAACAAGCTGGAAGAAAGAGATGATAGGGCATGCCAGAATAGGAGAGGGTTCTAGAGAGAGAAAGAAAGAGAGGCTAGGAGAAAGAGAGTGTGAGAAAAAGAGGCTGCAGGAAAGGAGTCGGGAGAAGAGAGAGAGTAAGGGAGGCTCGGATAAAAAGTGAATGAGAGAGAGAGAGAGCAATAAAGAAAAAGTGAAGCCGAGAAAGAGAGAAAGATATAAAAATGATAAAGAAAGAGATGGGTCGGTGGAGAAAGAAAGAATGGTTCTCCATCGGTATTTCTTATTTTCCTGATGAATGGTTTTCTGTTGGCCAGAATCGGTGGCAGCCATCGGTAAACGTGATACCGATGGTTTTGGTATGTTTATCGATGGATTTTAACCATCGGTAAACGACTCAATTCTTGTAGTGAAAGGGAGGTCTGAAGAAAGAGGGAGATAGAGATAAATCGAGAGATATCAAGGGGCAAAGGGGGAGGAGAGTGTGGGCAGGGGAAGGGACTAAGGGGAGAGGCTAGGGATAAAGTGCAACCTATAATTTTCAAATCCTTTTAGAAGATGAACAAGGATAATAGAGATTGGGAATTTTCAAAACTTATTATAATTTTCAAGCCTTTTAAAAGATGGAACAAGGACAAGTCATCATCTAATTAGTAGTACATTTAACATAAAAGTGCAACATTATGGTAGAAATGTGTTAGATTCATGAGTAAGTATTTTATTTTTTTTGTACAACCAGAGAGAGAGAAAGAGATATACAAAGATAAAGGGGGAGAAAGAGAAGGAGAGAAAGGAACCGGGAAATAGAAGGGTTGAAAGAGAGAGAGGGGGAGAGAGAGAGAGAGAGAGAGAGAGAGAGAGGGCAGCCAAAAGACAGAGAAGGGAGTTCAAGAGAGAGAGGGGGTAGGCCACGAAAAGAGAGAGAGGTTGGGAGAAAAAGAGTGAGAAAAATTGGTGGAGAGAGTTGGGAGAAAAGAGAGAGAAGGATAAAGTGCAACCTATAATTTTCAAAGCCTTTTAGAGGATGGAATAAGGATAAAAAGGATTGAGAATTTTCAAATCTTTTTATAATTTTATAAACCTTTTAGAAGATGGAACAAGGACAAAAGTCATCTAATTAGTAGCACATTTAACAAAAAAGTTCAACATCATTAGGGCTGTCAAAAGCTGACACGACACAACAACTCGACACGAACCCAACACGAAATAAGCGGGTTTGGGTCAAGAATTCTCGATTCGTTTACATATTTGGGTCGGCACGAACACGAAACGAAACTAAATGAGTTAAGTTTGGGTTGAAATTTTTAACCCGAAATCGACACGCATAACCCGATTATATAAATGGGTTGAACGATAACCCGTCAACCTGAACCTGACACGCTTATTCTATTACTTAAGTAGTAAAAAAAAAAAAAAAACTGAATTATTTTATTCAAAACTTTTAATTTTGTAAATTACCTTGAAACTATTTAAACATTTTGGTAATTTTTTGGCGGTTAATTTGGCGAACAAATAATAAGTTTCATCTTTCGTAAATTAAAATTTAATTTGGCGGTTAATTTGAGACAATTCTTATGTATTGTTGTATTGTTAAAATTACTAGCTTAAACCTGTGTGGTATCTATTGATAAAACTATTAACTATAAACTGTTATAGTATCTTTAATGAATTAATGATGTCTGTCTTTTTTATTTTTGAATTGAATATTAATTAGTTTATTACATACTATGTGGGTAAAAGGTTACCGGAGTAAACCGTTTAATAAGTGGGTTATGTTTGGGTTAAGGGTTTTCAATCCGTTTAATAAACGGGTTAGGTTTGGGTTAAGAATTTAATAACCTATTTAACATCAATACGAACACAAACACGACAGGACACGACCCGTCCCGTTTGACAACCCTAAACATCATATGGTAGAATTGTGTTAGATTCATGAGTAAGTACTTTTTTTATGTTTGTACAACCAAAGGGAGAGAAAGAAAGATATAAAGATAAAGGGGGGGAGAGAGAAGGAGAGAAAGGAACCGAAAAGTAGAAGGGTTGGAAGAGAGAGAGAGAGAGAGAGAGAGAGAGAGAGAGAGAGAGAGAGAGAGAGGGCAGCCGAAAGAATAAGAGGGAAATTCAAAAGAGAGAGGGGGTAAGCTAGGAAGAGAGAGAGAGAGAGAGGTCAGGAGTAAAAGAGCGAGAAAAATTGGGGGAATGGAGTCGGGAAAAAAGAGAGAAAGGGATAATGTGCAACCTTTATTTTTCAAAATATTTTAGAGGGTGGAACAAGGAAAAGAAAGATTGAGAATTTTCAAAGCCTTTTGTAATGTTCAAAACCT